AGTTGGAACGCTGGATCTAATGGTGGGGCCTAACATTCCTCAGTTGTGACCCTCCTCCATGTTGCGCTCGAGTGTTTGCAACATGATGCATGTTGCGCTCGTGTTGCACATGTCTCTGCTGCGACCACTCTTTGCAATTGTGCTCGGATGTTTGCAACATAACCCATGTTTTTCGAGTTGTGACATGACCCATGTTGCACTAGCATTGCACGTGTCTCAGCCGCGACCCTCCATTTGCAACATGACCCATGTTGTGTTCAAGTTTTTGCAACCTGGCCCATGTTGCGCTCGCTTTGAAAACACTCATAGGCCTTCTCACAATACAACCATTAGATAAGTTGACAACTAGCACCGACCGCATAGCACGAGAGACTTCAATTCTGAAATATGTTTGGGGCAAAGCATCATTTTACGTGACTTCTTCCCACTTAGATGAGGCTGTCGGATGATTGGCGGCGGCGGTGGGACACTCGTCACTCATGTTTTCCTCTCCTCCTCTTGTCCATGTTGGTCACTCTCAACCCCTCCAGACGTAGAAAGACCATGCCCTTGCTCTTGACACTGGCGACCACATGAGTTTATTGAGAAGAAGAAAATTACCTCTAAATTACGTACCTTGCTTACTTTATATTCCCTCTGTAAATTATGTTTGAGGTGTTTTGTACTTCCGCTCAATATTCATAATAGATTTGATACGTCTCGTTAAAAGAAGACGATTTAGGTCACCGGGGGAGCATGAAGATGCAAGAACGACGAATTTTGCACACTAGTTCGTCCCACTGATCATGGTGGGGAAGGGCGAATTCAGATCTTGTTGAGTTTGAGGCCCTTTACTTTCTGTTGGTCGTGAACCCTTGATGTTGGATGTGAACAACGTTGCTATGAGTTTTTATATATATACCGTATCTTTTATTAGAAGAGATGCATGCGTGCCTGTAAAATTACAGAGTTGCAGCGAAAATGTTGCCATGTGCACTACTGTGCCCCTCATCGCAAATGGCGAGTCCGAATGAAATGCGTGCGTGCGTGCGTGCGATGTGGGCCAAAACAGAACAAGTGAAGCAACTACATTGATCATGGACGCATCGATCATTCATTAATTCCTGCCCCGATTCGTGGCGATTCGATAAGTTGCTGCAGTGCAGTATCCTGTCATTTTACATTGCATCCAATTCTCAATGCATGTTTTTATTTTTTTTATTTTTTTGCCTCTCGATAGATTTCGTTTGGCGTCAAAATGTCACCCAGTTCCATGCACACACGCACGTCACGTCCGTCCCCACGGACATCAATTTTGCAGAGCTTCTCTTCTCACGAGCAAACAGCGTGCATGCATACTGTAACTCTGCCGTGATCTTGTTACGTTGCTGTCATATCTTGCGGCAGCGAAGAAGTGAAGGCTCTGCCCTTTGCTTTCACTGCCTGCGCACCCACCCAAGAGAAGAGACATACATATATATATTCTCACAATTAGAGTGGTGGCGTTGAGAAAAAGATGAAAGAACTAGACTAAACGTGTGCGGATGCAGGCAGAGGCTTGCCTCTTTGTCCCAGTCGGTCGCGCACTCGGAAATGGCGAGGAGCGAGAGCATCTGCACCACCAGCCCGCACCATATCCCGAACCACAGCCCCTGTCCAGGCCGAAAACACGAAACAGTTTTACATCTTTTGCTTACTGTATCTGTATGTAAAAAATGAAAGACGGAATAGGTTTATGAAACAGAGAGGGAGAGCGAGAGGCACTACCATTCCTCCAACGTGGAAGACGAAGGCGAAGAAGAATGCCGCCGGGATGCCGACGAGGTAGTACGCCGCCAGGTTGCCGAAGGCGGCCATCTTCTGCTGCCCGCAGCCCCTGACAACACCTGCATGCACAATCGAGCACAGCCTTCATACATGTAACTATGTTCACCATGATAGCTAGTAGCTAGGAATCTAGAGCTAACAGGATAGTAATCATGGTCTGTTTCTACCTGAGAGGACGCACTGGAGGCCGTCGAACACGACGGACATGGCGAGGATGGGCATCATCCGGGCGACGTAGGCGGCCACCTCCGCCTCGTTGCTGTAGGCGTACCCCCACACGCTGCGCACCAACAGCATCACCAGCCCCTCCGACGCGCCCACCGCCAGCGCCAGCAGCATCACCACGCGCGCCGCCAGCCGCGCCGCCGCCGGCCGCCCCGCCCCGAGCTCGTTCGACACGCGCGTGCTTATGGCACCGCCGAGCCCGAGCGGAGCCATGAACGCCAGGGAGTTGGTGTTCAGGCAGATGGACAGGACCGCCGTCTCCAGCTTGGGGTTGGGGAGCAGACCCGAGAGCAGCACCAGCAGCTCGAACGACCACCACTCCATGCTGTATCCACAACCATTTGAGCATAGTAAATTTCAGATCATCAACTGCATCGTGCAAGTGCAATCTGCTCACCAGACCATGAGGGCGGACTGCACGGCGAGCTTGAGGAACCCGGTGAGGCCGCGGAAGGCGTCGCGGGAGAAGCCGGTCCAGGTCCTCGAGCAGGACGGCGAGAGCCTGACGTAGAGCGCGAGGATGGAGAGGTTGGTGAGGAAGGAGACGGCGTTGGCGAGGGCGGCGCCCTTGCTCCCCATGCGGAGCCCGTGCACCAGCGCCCAGCACACCAGCGGGTGGTTCAGCGCGGTGGCGCCGGAGCTGAGCATCACGGGCACCACCACGTTCTGCGTCTGCAGGAACCGGACGTGGCACTGCAGCGGGCCGTACGCCAGCAGCGCCGGGATCATCCACCGGATGTAGCCGCCGGCGCCCGCCGCGATCTCCGGGTCCTGCCCGAGGAGGAGCAGGATCCGGCCCGTGTACGCCCAGAGCGCCGCCACGGGCACGCTCGCCAGGGACAGCACCAGCATCGCCCGCTGCTTGTACACGCCCAGCATGCGGTGCTGGCCGGCGCCGTACGCTTGCCCGCACAGCGTGTCCAGGCTGCACGCCATGCCGGCCTGCAGTACACGCAAGTAAGCTTCACGCGGAGAGGAGGAACGCAAGCAAGAGTGTTACCGACCAGCAAGCTGAAGCCGGTGACGTTGGCGAAGGAGGTGGCCATGGAGGCGCCGGAGAGCGCGAGCTCGCCGAGGTGGCCCACGAACATGACGGAGATCATCTGGACCACGTTCTGCAGGAGGCAGCCGACGACCAGAGGCCCGGCGAGGCGCAGCTGCTTCCTCACCTCGCTCAGCACCGGGCTCTTGTCGTCTCCCTTCTTCTCGGCGCCCGCGGCGCCGAGGACGAGAAGCTGCTCCTCCATGGTTTCTTTTGCAGGAAGAATGTGACAAGAATGAGCTACGCTAGTCAATGCGATTGGCTGCCAAGCAAATTAACCTCGCGGTGGGTATGGCAGTAATGACTTGGGTGCCACGCTCGCTCCGTATGGCTGTGCCTTGTGGGGCATGACCAGGAGTAAAATTCTGACAGATGAGACATGGTTTTCAACCATAAAATAGCATATCTTAAATTAGCCTTTCTTGGTTTGTTCGGATGCACACTCCGTGGGAGTTTGGGCGTGCGAGATCAGAGATCTTGCTTTCTTTAAAAAATCTTCTGCAGAATAAGTGTTCCCTGCATCATAAAAAAAAAATCATACGGAAACCAACGTTTCGGTGAAAACCGGTGAAAACCACGAGAAAAAAATGTTTTGAAGTATCAAAAAAATTGAAAAAAAATACGGGATGTTAAAAGGATGATGTTTTATTGCCACATAAAATTTCAAGTTGAAACACATTACGAGATGTGAGCTAGGAAAAAGACAAAATCAGCGTTGAATAGTGCCGAATAGTAATGTCATTATTCAGGGCTGAATTTGTCTTTTTCATAGCTCACATGTCGTAATGTTTTTCAACTTGAAATTTTGTGTAGCAATAAAACATCATCTTCTTAACATCTCACATTTTTTTCAGATTTTTTTAAAACTTTAAAATATGGTTTCCACGAAGTTTTTATTGAATATTGGTTTTCATATGATATTCTCTCATAATAAAGAGTCAGTCGATGCAAGGCAAGTTTTTCATCGTTCTTGAAAAATACTTTTGTTGAACTCAAATTTTCTTAAGTTAGCTTTACTTATACAAAAGCATAAATTAATAAAATCACTAGAAATAGATCTATTATGAAATACAGTTTTACTAAAGCACATTTAGATGTTATGAAATATGAATGCACATGCACTAAATACAGAGCATTCACTCAGTCCACCAAACAAACTGTAGCCCTGAATCTTTGATTAAAAAAACGAGACCAACCCTGGCTAGACTGACCTGTTGGCATCTTTTTTATAGAAGAAAACTCCATGAGCACCAAATGCTCAAGGCGAGACTTGAACCCTGGTGGGCTGGCTGCAAACTCCCGCGCCTTGCCAACTGAGCGTAGTTCTCGAATCTTTAATATATATATGTGTTCTTTTTGGCAAAAAAGTAAGTGTTACTACCAAGTGGAACGGCTAAGAGAAGATGAGAGATGGCTAAGAAAAGGTCCTTGCCAAAGTTACAGGTTCAGAAAAAAGAAAAAAAAACTGAAGCAAGATCGCACCTTCCTCACTCATAGCCAATGGGAGTCCGGGAAATACCCTTTGGTTCCTCATATGGAGAATTTTCTTTAATAATTCAAAAAATTCAAAAAAGTTTGGAATTGTTTTATAATAAACTTGACTTTCTTTTGCACTAGTATATAAATTTTCACGAATAGGAAACCAGCATTGACTTCAAGAGAAAAAAACCATTTGCTATTATAGATTACTATTCATACTATTTTGACCGGAATTTTTGTCTTTTTTTGAAAAGAAGTCAAAGAGATTTTTTCCCTTTTTGTGGAATTCTCTTTACCAATACAATGGAAGGTCAAATTTAATTCAAAAATATTTTCAGAATTTTTTGACCTTTTATTTAATTACTAAATTTTCTTCCATATAGGGTGTATATACACCCATAGACCAAAATTCCCCTCCATGGGAGTCCTGGCAAGATAACCATAGATCAAGGTTGGCACACTTACAGGACTATAAAATTTGCAACGGTTAGTCCGAAGAAGCTCTTACTTGCAATTTGTTACTCCCTGCTATCTCAAAAACAAGATGGTTAACTTTATCTCTCCTTTCTCCAAAAGCAAGACACATTATCATTTGGACCAATTACAAGCTGAGTTGAGTGAGTGAGCACTTAGAGCAACTCTAGCAGACCCCGCATCCCGCCCCGACCCAAAAAATAACCGCCAAAATGCGGGTTGGGGCGGGAAAACCTGCCCGACCAAACCCCGCATCTCGCCCCGGCCCGTATAAAAATTTGGGGGGCACGGCAAAATCTCGGCCCCGACCCGGGTATTCGCGGGTTTCCCCCTCGCCGCTGCGGTGCCCTGCATATAAGCGGAAGCGGTTGGTGGGGGGACATTTCAGCCCGCCATTTCCCCCACCAACCACCTCCCCTCTCCCCCTCGCGCCGCCGCAACCCTGCCACCCAAGATTCCGACGACAGCAACCGGCAGGAACTCGCCGAAAGGCCGCCGCACACACGAGGCCTCCCATCTCCACGCCCCCCCCCCTGCGCCAGCGGGCCGCCGAATTTGCAGATCTGCGGACCTTCATCGCGCGGCTGCCGGATTTGGCTCTGCCGGCCGCAGGTGGCTGCGCCAAGCGATGGAGTGGTCCGGGAGCATCTTCTGCAGCCCCGGCAAGGGCGCATCACCACATGCAGGGACGGGTTCGCCCTCCCGGCGCCGTTGATAACCCACAAGTGTAGGGGATGGCAACAGCTTTCGAGGGTAGAGTATTCAACCCAAATTTATTGATTCGACACAAGGGGAGCCAAAGAATATTCTTAAGTATTAGCAGTTGAGTTGTCAATTCAACCACACCTGGATAACTTAGTATCTGCAGCAAAGTATTTAGTAGCAAAGTAGTATGATAGTAATGGTAACAGTGGCAAAAGTAAAGATAATAGTTTTGTAGGAATTGTAACAGTAGCAACGGAAAAGTAAATAAGCGAAGCACAAGATGTGACAAGCTCGTAGGCATTGGATCAGTGATGGATAATTATGTCGGATGTGATTCCTCATGTAATAGCTATAACATAGGGTGACACAGAACTAGCTCCAGTTCATCAATGTAATGTAGGCATGTATTCCGAATATAGTCATACGTGCTTATGGAAAAGAACTTGCATGACATCTTTTGTCCTACCCTCCCGTGGCAGCGGGGTCATAGTGGAAACTAAGGGATATTAAGACATCCTTTTAATAGAAAACCGGAACAAAGCATTAGCGCATAGTGAATACATGAACTCCTCAAACTATGGTCATCACCGAGAAGTATCCTGATTATTGTCACTTCGGGGTTATCGGATCTAGCACATAATAGGTGACTATAGACTTGCAAGATAGGATCAAGAACTCACATATATTCATGAAATCATAATAGGTTCAGATCTGAAATCATGGCACTCGGGCCCTAGTGACAAGCATTAAGCATAGCAAAGCCATAGCAACATCAATATCAGAACATAGTGGATACTAGGGATCAAACCGTAACAAAACTAACTTGATTACATGGTAAATCTCATCCAACCGATCACCGTCCAGCAAGCCTACGATGGGATTACTCACGCATGGCGGTGAGCATCATGAAATTGGTGATGGAGGATGGTTGATGATGACGACAGCGACGAATCCCCCTCTCCGGAGCCCCGAACGGACTCCAAATCAGCCCTCCCGAGAGAGATTAGGGCTTGGCGGCGGCTCCGTATCGTAAAACGCGATGAAAATTTCTCTATGATTTTTTTCTCCGTCAAATAAAATATATGGAGTTGGAGTTGAGGTCAGTGGAGCATCAGGGGGCCCATGATACAGGGGGGCGCGCTCAGGGGGGAGGGCGCGCCCCCCACCTGATGAAGTCATGTACCTAGGGTAGGGTCATGAACCTGACCAAGGTACCCTCCCCAAGGACATCTCTTAAAAGAAGCTGTCTTCCAGTCGACCAAGAGGGACTCCACTCGACAGACTAGAAGACACTCGACGAACCTGAAGACACTCGACCATGAAGACTCACTCGACCATCAGGAGTTCAGGATCTACTCTGTATCCAAACGGTCTGTAATTAAGTAGTCTTAATGGTCATGATGGCACTTTATGTAGGGCGTTACCAGTAACGCCAGACCTTAATGTACTTTAACCCTCTGCTACGTGGGCTGGCTGGGGTCTTGGCGCCCTCTATATAAGCCACCCCCTCCACTGGTAGAAGGGTTCTCACCCCTGTAACTCTCACACACATAATCCAGGCGACCGCCTCCGGGCTCCGAGACGTAGGGCTGTTACTTCCTCCGAGAAGGGCCTGAACTCGTAAAACACCTATGTGTACAACTGCTCCATAGCTAGGATCTTGCCTCTCCATACCTACCCCCATTCTACTGTCAGACTTAGAACCACGACAGTTGGCGCCCACCGTGGGGCAGGTGTCTTAGCGACTTGTTGGAGAAGTTGCAATCTTTTCGATTCCTATCATCATGGTTTCAGGTGGAGTTTTGGTTGAGGGCCGCGAGATCCGTCTCGGCGCGCTCACATTCGTCACCAACGACTCTACCTGGCTGCAGGAGGCTCCGCTCGACGTGGATGCGCTCCCGGTCCGTGGAGCTACACACTTTCGAGCATGCGTGCGCGGCGTCCTTCTGCGGCAGCCGTCGACTCAGTATCGGCCGGCTTTCGTGTCATCCTCCCTCCCAGCTTCCCGTCGGCGTAAGCGCTCTGGTCGGTCGAGGCTTCAGCGGTGGGTCAGGCATGCAGTGGCTCGCCAGTCAACCGCTACCCAAGTCGCGGCAGTTGAGCCCGAAGAATCTCTTTATGGCCTGTTCGACCTGTCGACTGGCTCCGCAGAGACAGCATCCGAATGCGACAACAGTGATCCGGCGGCGGAGGTCTTGATGGTCAATGGGCCGCATGTTCCTCCAGCTTTCCTGACGCCGAGGGAGGCAACGGCGGGGGCGACCCGTCGCACGACCATGAGGAGTACCGCCCCGAGCCCCTCGACTCACAGCAGAGGGAAGAGCTTCGCCGCCGGAACATGGATGCGCTCCATACTCTGATAGTTGGAGGACGCGCGCTTGGCCAACCTGGTTGAGCGCACTCGACTGGAGAACCTTCAGTGGGCACTCGACAAGCGCGCGCGGCAACGGATTCCAGACTCCAGTCGACACCAACTCTTCAAACCCCCGACTCGGGTATACCGCACTCCAATCCAGAATTTGGCAGCTGCAACACGCATAGCAGAGT